GTAAAAGTGGACATTTTTAAAGAAACATTAAGTCAACAATTTGATAAGCAATCACATCTTTTCTCTACCTCAAAGGTCTACCGAAGCAAACAGCGGTGTCTGGGACATGTGTACCTCAGAGGTGAAAGCCTCAGCTGAGGCTGTTGGGCTGTGGGTACCTGGATCACACATCCACCTTCATCATACCCTCCTTTTCCCTCTTTCAAAAGGAACTCCAAGTTTGATTACCACTCTCAGAGAATGTGATTAATAAATGCAACTTTGAAAAATTTTTAGAACCACAACAAACTGTTAGTGTTAGCAGTGAGTGTTGATTAGCCTGTCAAATCAGCAACTACAGACCATTAGCCACCACCAGGCATAACTGAGGAGTCCTCTAATGAGAGTCCTGTAATGTCTAATTCAGGACTGAATTCTGAAACTGTCCTGTTGTTTCTAGCAGAAAGAGGGTTCAGCTTCATTTCCATAACCGCATCGGCATTTTCTGGATACTACAGTGCAAAATTCTTTCAGAAGGATTAATTCAATGACAATCACTCGATGTAAGAAAGCAGCCCTAGTTGCTATTTGGCTGGAAATGGTTGTAACATATATTCCTAATCAATCTTTTTTTGACAGGTTAACCCCACTGATGAGGGTGATGGTACCTGGGAATCCCTGGAAAGTAACTCTGTCCCCTGGTACTGCTCCACTTGGAGGATCAATGATTTCCACTTTGTCTGGCGAGCTGGCACACATGACCATAGCCTGGGAAACCACTCCTCTCATCTTGGCTGGTTTCAGGTTGCACAGCAGGACAGCCATGCGGTTCTGCATCTGCATGGGGGACAGAAGATTATGTAATTCTTTTTTTTTTTTTTACAGTCCTCATTCCTTTGACGAGAGAAGAAAAACAAATTACTCCTAATTCACTTAAAAAAATTAATAAAATAAAAATACCTTTATCTGATGTGGTCTGTTTGGGCACAGGACAGAGAATTTTCCAACCCAATATAAAGAATAAGGCCAATTCCAATCTCGTCAATTCAAAATGACTGCGCCCTAGGGTTTATGGATTGTTTGCCTCATTTCATAAACCAAAGGAGCAAACAGGAAAACACTAGACTTTTGAGCCAGGAGATCTCTGCAGCTCACGAAAATTTAAAAGACCGGAGACTGTTTCTGGCAAAAGTTGTGGGGAAATCCAGAATTTGATGAGATGATATATAACAGATCTTAGAAAAATATTCATACCTTTCTTTAAAGGATATCCTTTAAGAAATTGCAACAATGATTTAAAAGTACTCAAGCTGCTTTCATAGTGTTTTGGCATAGTTTTCATTTTCCATCTCTTGGCAGTTTTGACAGGCTGGGAAAGTGTGATTTACAAAATAGACTTCGACTGAAGCAAAATTTTACGTGCACTGTAGATACATCCCAAGACTCGCTGTACGCTCATTGCAGAGGGTGCCGCAACCTCCCCGCGTGCTATTAAGACCCCCTGCAATTATGTCACTACGCTGGCACGTCAATGTCTGAAACTCTACACACGAGGGCGTGGCTCCTTGCTAGTGATTGGCTTGGTAGTATCATGTGACTTCAGCATTACATCTAAACAAACAGGCAGAGTATGTGTGCTGCATGGATGTATGGTGGTATGCCCGTCTGCCAGTCTGTAGACATACCAACACACTTGAATGCAGCAACTTCCGCATCTCCTCATTTTTGAGGTGCTTTGATTTCACGACTTTAATGAACTCTCCATCTTCTCTCCACATCTGGTTTAGAGGATGAACAGACCAATTTCATACCCTCTCCATTGCCAGAGCGCAGTGGAAACTCTGCAGTGCTAGTATGAACACACTGATGGTTGTGGGCCATGTCCAAATGGCTAGACACATGTAGTGATACATATAGCATATAGGCCCCTTAACAGTTATTTTATGATTAGCGTGTCTCAGACTTCTGAACGGTGCCTATTCTTGATCCACACTACATGCACTATGTACAGCCATAAAACCCATAATGCATCTCCTCGGGTATTTCACCTCTGCTTGCTTGACAGAAATAGCTAATAGCACATATAAATAAGACTAATAATTCAACAAAACATATCAAATGGGAGTTTGATTTTTGATTTACTGCACCTGTGAGTAACAGACAAAGGCAGCAATAGCTCTTCTTTTCTATCTGTTCTCAGACAACACTTAATAAGGTGCTTCTAAGTGCAACTGCTGCAACACAGGCAAATGTTCTAAGATGCTAATGTATAATATTTGTCTGTGACAATGTCATATAAGACTTTATTGATCCCCAGTGGAAAATTCCCAAGCTACCCAGCAGTATCAACAAGCACAATCACTCAGTAAATTACTTTGAATGCTCCTCTACGCTCATCCTTGGAGATGCCTGTGGGGTAGTCATTGCATGAGTTTACAATGTTCTCTCAACTTCTGTTAATCAGATCTAAAAAACTAGGATTGTACCTGATCAACAGGTATGTGCTTTACCAGCCCGCTGACCACTGTCCTGGGTGAAGCCTCTCCCACATCAACCTGCTCGACGTAGAGGCTGTCGGCATCTGGATGCTTCTCTGCTGTGATTATACGCCCGACGCGCAAGTCCAAACGAGACACATCCACTGTGGCATCCTCTTGACTGGGGGCTGCCCGTTTCTTCTCTGCTTTCTCCCCTCCTGGCATCAAAGCATGAAAAATACTGTTATACTAATAATGTACACAAGCACACACAATGTTGTGTTAAAATGTTGTGTATCTCTAGTCTATGTTAATGAAAGTGTGATATGACAGTTTGGTTGGGTGAGGTTCATTTTCAGCACACCACATCATACAGTAGCCATCTATCATCATCTGTGAAAGTTTGCAAAAATAAATGTGCATGATATTATAGGAAAAGTTTGCTTAAAAGCACTGAAAATATTTCAGCCAGCTGGTATCTTTCCAAGGGATATTATAAAAAAACAAATCGCAGTTGAAACAATACTGGGCATCTGTCTAGAATATGATTTAATTTCCTCCCATAAAAGAAAACAAAGGCTACCAATGACAGGCCTGAGGGTAGCATGTGTTTCATAAGTAAAACACAAATTAAGGAAAAGACAATTACTTTTCCACCTTTTCCCAGAAGCACAGGGTACATACCTTGATTAAATGACAATACCAATACCCACATTGGCTGAAGGGGACTACCTCATGATCCAGTGATATAGTAGAATAACAGATGCTTCCTCCCAGAAAGACAAAGCACCTTTCACTAGCTCGCCTGGTTTGCTTACACACATTCATTCCATTCCATTCACTGCACTGATCAAATGATCACATAGACTTTAATCATTCCTACGAGCCCACACCAGTTCTGAACAATATGAATTCCAAACCCTGCCTTTAATATTCAACATTCCTCCCTTGAGTAATCACCGCTCTGCTGTGATGACAGTAAAATTATCAGGACTCCACTAAGGTTACACATGAGTGTGGACTCACAAACGATGACTGTTTGGATGAGGTGAGAGCACGGCTAAAATAAAGTAAGACAGAATTTACCATGTAGAACAGCTTACCAAAAGTAAGCGAAAGCTCTCCAACATCTGGATCTAGAAAACACCAGACACACTAATGAATTTGTCCAGGTCGTAAACCTCGATGCTTCCTCTTTCTAAATTATAACCCCAGACACATATTCAGCACTGATTGTTCAATTTCAGCATATTGCTCAAGCAGAGCTAAATATCTGAGTGACTCGCTGATTATTTTAATTTCTGTGGCAAGGAGTGTCTGATTTTCTATTCAGTATTTATCATGAATGTAAAAGAGTTAAACTCCATTGTGTTTGTTGCATTTGGAGACTTTGGTTTTACAACAGGATCATAATGTTGCACATCTACAAAATAGTAACATTAAATCGCTCTCAGATAATGTGAAGGTATGACACGCTGTGTTGAATGTTGGGACAGGGGTGCCATTTTTGGAGGTACACAGTGTATATACCTGCTTACATTCTTGTTTTGTTTGGCTAAACAGTTGCTTAAATCAATTAGACCTCACTTTACTTTACCATCAATGTGTTCATACTAGCATTGCAGAGCTGCCACTGAACTCTGGTAATTAAAGATGGATAAACTTAGCTGACTGTCGCTAACTTGGAGTGAACCTAAAGATCCCATCTATAAGAGAGACAGACTGAAAAATGACTCTGCACCCTGATCTCAGCTTTCCGCTCGGGAGCTAAAGCTAGCAGCAGCTGTTGGAGGATGACACAAGCACTACAGATGAAATTCAACACGGTGCGATGTCAACTTCACATTCTCCATTGCACTTGACTACAGGAGACACTAGACAAAAGTAGCTTAGAAATCATAAAACTCCCTAACAAAGCAAGGTTCAATAAACATATTCCTACTGAGGCCCAGACATCTTGGATCCATTAAGAGGCTGATATTACTGCTTTATCCATTATCACACATCATTAGAAATTAAATTAGGAGAAAGTCAAATAACTGACAGAAAAACTATCTTAGACAAGTCCTTATAGGTTAGTAAAAATATTAATGAAAGCTGATAAATCCCTGAGTGGTGAGAGATGTGTGGACAGTTTTATTGCTATGCAGTGCGTTGTAATTTTTCTCCAGCTGTTACCTTTTTTCTCTGGCTTCTTCTTTTTACTCTCATCTTTGGATGAGGGGCTCTGGACATTAGCAGAAGGGGAGGCAGAGGGTGCAGGCCCAGAGGGCTCAGGAGGAGAGGGCTTTGAAGTGCACTCAACACTGGCTGCGCCTGATGTCATGCCTACTTCTCGCACTATGGGAAGGACATAAAATGTTAGAACAGTTAAATCGAGTATGCTAGTTACTATCTCATACTTTTTCTCAAGCATGTCTGTCAACTAATACTCTATGCACACACTTCTTTTCCCAAATGTCCCTTGAAATGTAAAACAAGAGGACAGCACTGGGATTAGTGATAATTAACTTTAACGGTACACAAAGTAGGCTACTTCTTAGTTGTCCCGATTCACGCACAGGGTCGGTTGCATCAACATAATACAATGAAACGACACAGAGAGAGCTTTATTTACACACCCAGTGGGAGGACTACTTTCCTGATGCAAACAGTTTTGATGAGAAAATGACACAGTGTCCAAGTTGATGGAAACAAGGAAATGGAGCATTAAAGCAGGGAACAATGTCCTACAATAACTCCCCTGACAAAACATAACCCCTCATTTAAGGCGCCTGATGTTTCAGTTCCTACAAAGTCTCGGGCCTGTGCCTGACAAACATCGGTCTGCAGGCACACCACCATCACCATAATGCTTTTAATTACCTTAATTCTATGTTAGGACCTGAGATTAGGACCTTTCAGTCTTACTTTGGAATTATGGGCAATAACCTCTTAAAGTCTTGACAGTTCCCTTAAGTGCCCTCTCAAGGTTTTTATACATCTACAGAAAAAAAATCCACACTGTTAAACCACGATACCTAAAGTGAGTGAAATATTCAACCCCAAGAAGCCATCTTTTTTATAATAAATGAGTTTTATTCTAGATATGTGGGTTACATAATGCACATTTCCCCAAACTAATCCAACTCTTCAGTCCTTCTCAGCTCTACAAAGCTTCTCTTCCTCATTTAGCCCATTGTTTTGGGTTGTACGGCCAGTAAACTCCACTGTCAACCAGGTGTCCAGCAGCAGCGGGCAGTTGTGTCATTAAAAAAGTTCAGATAAACCCACTGGAAGCTACCTGCCTGGCACCAAACTGCAGACATACCAATTAAGTGGCTTGCTGGTAAACATAGTAAAGTACTTAGCCACTGAAAGGTCAGATATTTTAAACAGGAGTTGCTGAGGGTACCAGAGCTATAAGTGAACACTGGTCCTGAATCTGTCAGGTGGCCACATATGGCACTTAATGCTTATGTTGTTCTGTGTCTGCCGAATGTGCTAACAGGCAACTGTTTTCAGTCATGTCTGCCATAACATCTTCAGGAGGTAATTGGAGCCAAAACGGACCCAAAAAGAAAGAAATCTGACACTGAAATGTCTTTAAATGCCACCGTTTTCATTTCCAGGCTGCAGAAATGTTGCTTTGTTTTTCTGTAATATTCTGGTCACATTCAAACGTTTTTCTCATCTCAATAAGAAATCTGCAAAGCAGTCTAAAATTTCTTTCAGAAAGGTTCATTTTTTCCATGTTTGGATTAATTTATGTCACTTAAAGACATTAAAAAGAAACTTCAAAAATAAAAATCACAATTAGATGCAATATGTGGGGAAAAAAGTCCTGGGTGTATTGGGAACACACTGCTTCAAAGTTCCAACACCAACACAGAGTTTTTTTTTTTTCAGTAAGGCTAAATAGCACATTTCTTCCAGTCACCCTTTATTCCTGCAGCTTCTTTCTGGAAAACATTAAATGTGTGTTAATGACTTGAACTGTTTGCCCTTGAATGTCAACATATGCCTGACGCACAATAGCTGACAGACATGTTGTCCCCATCACCCTGAAAGGGTTTCCTGAAGCACTATGGTTACTTAGAATAACAAAAAGGATCTGGTTATAAAGGGCTGAGGCGAGAATGCACAAGATGCTATAACTGATAGTACACACCAAGCAATGTTATAATGACTAACAACTGACATCAAATGTTCTTAAGTCAGACACACAACCACTTCTATAACTAGATATAAAAGATAATATCAAGGTCTTTTTAAAGACTTTTGCTGGGAACAGAACTCGACCTACCTCCCCTCTTCTTCTCTTTTTCCAACAGCTGTTTTTTCAGCTCCTCAATGTCATTCTTCAACTTGGCATTCTCCACCATCAGTTTCTTCTCTTCTCTGACACTGGCCTGGACGGCTGCAATGAGGCAAATCCTTGTTACCGCTCAGCATACAAACTAAATTTCAACTTCCAAACAGGGCATTTAAAAACTGCTTTTAACTATCAAAAATATGAATTTTTGGGGGTTAAGACAGTCCACAAAACAGTGCACTAATACAGCATTTTGATTTTTACCCTTTTAGTATAACTCATCTTTCTCACTTTGTCTAATAAGAGATAATAAAGATTATTTAAGACTGCAGTTTTAACATTTACACAAAGCACAAAAACTCATTTCTTTTTAAATCAAACATATGATTACCTCTATCTAGGGATCTAGTACTGGAAATATTGTCTTACCAGTAAAAGATAAAATAAATATTCATAAAATTAATTCAGCATTTACGGTTTATTATAATTGAATAACAGAATACAACATCTGACTAATTTGGCACCTTATTTCATTAAGCACATCATTTAAAGGTAGGGTTGGCGATTCCTTCCATTCTTTTGGTTACATTTCTTGAAATTCTCTTTACATCCTGTTGGCAATGAAAGCACTAAATGCACTGACAATATGAAGAAACCACTGGACGGCCTACCTGCCTGTCAATCTAACGTCCTACTTGCATGCACTCTGCCCTTGCACTCATTGTGCAAGCCAAGAGTCTTCCAACAAGGCCAGGCAGGTAGGCATGTTACTGCTCTGTTTTTATAGCTAAAGCTAGCGAGCGACGGCAGAGAAGGTACCAAAAGCAGCTTTAAGTCGCATACAGAGACAGAGAAAGTTGAAGATGGAAGCTGTGGGGGTTTGTCATTTTCCTTAAATCTGTAAGTACTCAGGTAGTGCATGTTGGAATGTGTGTTGTGTTTTGGAGGAGTGGTTTTGGAGAGAAGTGACAACAAAAGGGTGGGATTTCTTCAGCCGGCTC